GTGAAATAAGTTTAAATGTCTTGGTTTTTAGGATTATTGGTTTCCATCCAGCCCCAGCCAGTCATTAGGACAGATACAACAAAGACATCTTTTTACAAACAAGGGGTGTTTTAGAGTCCTTCAGCCATCAATATTCAGTGTTAGGTACCTTATTAAGACCTGCAGTTGAGACATATAGAATGCTTGCATCATTAAAGGAAACCAGACTGAGTATATCTGAAAACTGGTGATGCTGGCTCTGCCTGTGCAGAGTGGCTCTGCTTGTTCTTCTCAAGCATGAATGTAAAGCAAAACTGATTCTCCTGAGCACAGTGGGATTTGAAATGATTTGTCTTCATTATGCAGCTATTCAATGTGAGCTTAAAATTTTACTTAAGTGTTCACCCAAGTCTTCACACTTAAGCTTCACACAAGCGTACCTACCAGTTGTAGTGAAGGCAATGGAAACTGAGGCCAGCTGGATGTTTGTAGTATATCTTGCCACCAGAAATTATCTGAGGTACTGTCTGTGGAAGAAGAGTAGTTCATTTAAAACTGTGCCAGGAAGGGATGCCTCTTCTAGCTTGCCAGTGGTGCTATGAACTCTGTAGCTTCCATGCTTTCATGATGTTTATATATACAGTAAGTTGAACGTTGTTTTATCTGGCTTTCTCTGGAGGTGATGCTACACTAAGGAGCTGTAAATGAATCTTCACAGATTATTGTCTGCCGGAGTACACCTTGCAAAAAAAGACTTGTGAAACTAAGCATTAGAAAGTATATTAATAAGAAGAGTTGAAGAATAACCTGGATTAAAAGATAGTTAATATTGGGTAATTATTTCTTCTTGCTCTCGTCATGAACAAGAAAAAGGTGGTGAGCAAGAAAGCAGATGAAGTGTCCAGAAACAGGCAGGTGGATGTTTGAAATGGCCTTGGGTCACTGCTCAATTCCATCCTAATTCTCCTAAAAGGCAGCTTGCCGATTGATGTGCTAAGGTGAAATTAGTCCAGGGACCTGCCTGGGTGACAAGCTGTTTCAAACTGAGGAAGAGGGTCTTTGCTTTGATGAGGAAATTACCAAAACTCATGTCTCATTAGTGTTTCCTGAGGTTCTTTGGAAGTGAACAACCATTTAATTAAAGGCTGGCGTAAACATGTTTCTGCACACTTTCCCTGCAGCATTTTATCACATTAGAATTGATCAAAATTGTTGCCTTGGGCTGTCTTGAACAGCTATACATCTGGAGCACCATTTGTGCAAGCTGCTGCTTAACAGGCTACATACGCTACGCTTCACAGCAGCTTTTCTGCCTTTCTGTGTAGACAGATTTACCTTGTTGGGACATGAGATGATCTAACAATTTTGTTTGCTTTAGCCCTTTTTTCTTTGGTGTAAATGCTTTAAAATGTGTAACATGACACCCGTTTGGGTGCATACATACTGTATCTCCAGAGTAATAACAGAATACATGCAAGAGTGATTTGGAACAGCACTCAGAATTTGGGAAAAAAAAAAAAAAAAAAAAGAAAACGCAAAAGCCGATTTTTCACATTAGAAAAAAATTCTCAGTGGTACAGGACACAGCGTCTGATTAATAATGATCTTTTGATAACTTTGTCCAAGTGCTTTTGGCATCCTTCCACTTTCCATCTGTACTTAACATGTTTTTCAAAAGTCTAAAAATAAATCACACTTGAACTTGTTTTATTTTCATTTGCAAAGTAATAAGGATTGGAATCTCATTCCTGACACTTTGAAACAGAAGTAAGAGCAAGTGGCCTGTTTTTATGACCTCTGTCATTAATTATGTAATTATCACTATATAGCTAAGCTCTAGGTAGATACTAGACTGTATCTCATGATGTGGAAAAAAAAGATAAGTTTAAAACTGAGACAAATATGTGTTTTCTATTATGTAGAAGCTGCTACTAAAATCATACGAAGTTTCCCTGTCACTTGTAGTAACTCTACTTTATTTAAGGGCACTTTCTTATAAGTGACATTAAAGACAGTGAAACTGATTTGCATTTTTCCGCCTTACTTTATGTTTCTGTAACGGGTAACACTCCAAACAAATGTAACTTCTGTGTTTTCCTATTCAAGCTTTAAGCCTCCTGTCTTGGTCAAGGAGGAGACGTCTGCAGCCTTTCTTCTTAACCTATACAAATAGTTATTGTTCTGTCTCCCCTGTCGGCTACATCTGTTGTTCGGCAGTGGCAGGAGCATGAATGCTGCCTTATGATGGCCGGACACACACGGGGAGAGCCGTGGGGGCTGCGGGGGACATGCGGGGGGAGAGGGAAGAAGGGCTCTCTGAACTGCTGCTCAGTGTGAGGTGCCTTGTTTTAACAAAGAAGCTGCTGCCTGAACTACAGTCACTATTCTTTGCAGTTGCTTATGTTATGGATAACAAAAGGACTTCTGAAAGTACTTGGTAGTGGTGTGCTGTGCAGTGTACCCTAGAGTTGCTGTTTTGGTGGGTAATTAGTGTTTTTATGGCAGTGCTGCATTTTCTGTTTCTGACTGCCAGTCGCATTTATCTTGCTGACGAAAGCGTCTTCTGTACGAGAAGTTCATTGCGTTTGATTTTTAATTTGTGCTGGTTTATACGTGCTAATTAGAATTTTTACTTCTCCAAAGTAGGATTAGAAGTAAGTTACACCTTTAAAAAGGAAATTCTAGTGTTATCATAGTAAACAGTCTCCTTTTCAAACTAGTGATGCCGCTGGGAGGTTAATGGATACTCGGGTAATGTTGCACTTCACATAGCATACTTCTGAGCAACTAAAATATTTTGGTTTTGAAAAACACAGCAACTTTTGCTTGTTTAGTGAAGTAACAGTCACTAACCAAATTAAATCTCTCTTGCATTCCAAAAATAAGAGCTGCTGATACATGCAGAGCTTCAGGAGATAGGCAACTCTTTCTTTCATGAGTTCTTTTGTTGAATATGAGCTTTACATAAGGAAAAGATTTTCCACTTCTAGCCCATGGTTTATTTTTTCCCTAGGAAAATTTAAGTGCAGTTCATTTGATTTGAAGTAAAATTAATCTGTTTGTGTGTTTTCTCTTTTATGATATCCTATACGTGGTAGAGTCAACAAGACTGGTCATGGATAAATTCTGTGATAACTACTGGTGACCCAAATGTTGTGGTAGGAGGCTGTGTCTACAAGCTTTGAGGCTCCCATATCTTTTTTTCACAGACATTGCAGACAGAGATTGGGTATACACAGAACCAGATTGTAAATGTGATTAATTTTGTCCCGTGCCTTTATGATACCCTACAGCTGTTGTGGAGGTGTGAGAATTTTGTTCCCCTGGTGGAATTTGGGCCTTATATGAAGACACTAGGGCTACCACTGAGCAGAAAATAAGACCTAATGATATTTGAAAATTATTCCAGAATTAGTGTGCCCTTTTACCATGGCTTGCCTTTAAAAAAATAATTCTCTGTAATTCTAAAAATAATTTTTTAGCTTACAGAATGTATGTAACAAAGCTAACTATTTGCTTATTCATTCAGAGGAACAGAATACTCCTCCATTTTCTTCCTCAACAACAATATATTTACTAAATTTTTCTAAGAAAGCTAGAAGTGGTCCTGTCAGCATTCAGTATTTTTGATAACACTGTAACATTGCAACAGATCACTATAATAAAAAGCATACAGTAACTTTTGTCATATCTGCTAAAACTGAGTGAGTGCTGAATTGCTGTGTTGTAAAGCAGTTCCACTCTCTTGCTGAATGTTTCGCTGAAATCAGCAGACTGAGTAATCAGGACCAAGGGAGAACAGAGGAGTTACAGAAGGATGGTGCAGGGACATTGTCAGAGTCTGCTCTGTGCCTGGTGCCAGTGCCTGTGCAGAGCTTGACAGCAGTATGAGGCAGAGCAGACAAGTGGTGTCTCAGTTTGATGGGTCCTGCTCTAAGCACAGCTTTCAGGGTGAAAACCCACTCTTAAACTCCAGCCAGTTGTTCAGAAAACACTGGTTCAATCTGGTCTCAATAAGGCACTCACATTTTGCAGGCTAGTCTTTGACTTATAAGTTGATCGTGAGTCCCCCAGAATAGCATAGTGCAGTGTGCTAGCATTAGAAGTGCCAGAATCTCTTTAAGGGCTAGCATGGTCCATACATGAAAGTCAGCTGCAACATGGCCACGGTCCAGTGAAGTACTTAAGAAATAACCTTTGTTTTAAACATGAGTTAGCCACATTGATTTGAAATGCAGCCAACTTATGATATTTAGATGTGTCCTAGAAAAATATTGTAGTTAACTTTGAAGTAATTTGGTGCAAAATCCAACAAATGTTGTCTAGCTAATTTAAACTTTCAGAAATAATCCAGTATTTTTGCTTTATGCAATGTCAGTAACCTTACATGGTAGAAATCATACATTTGTCCCTACTAGTGTGTTATCTTCACACCATCAGCTCTAAATAGAAGTTTTTGTTGATAGGGAAGCTGGAAGGAAAAGGTGGGAAGGCCTTACTTGATACATGGAAAATATGAGTATCTAAAGTATCCTTTAGTCTTGGGGAGGTTACATTGTTTCACTATGGTTCTGGGAAGGGCAAGGGATGGGTTTTGAAATAACAAAATAGGAAATACCATAAATGGCATGTGTATGGCAGTTACCCATCACACCTGAGTGTAGGTGTTCTACTAAAAAATGTAATAAAGATTATGTTGCTATTGAAGGAGCAGATGATTTGGTGATGTTTGGGGGAGCTGAGAAGTAATTTAGGGAGGTTCTGAAGACATTAATTTCTTCACTGTTTGGCTTGTCTGGTATGAAAGGAATGTAGTTTCTTCTTTTGGAGGATAAAGACAAGTTAGGGAATTATTATTCATTCTCAAGTTTGAAAATGATAGTTTAAAATTAGTTTATCGATCATGAGAGAGTTGGGTCACCAAACAATATTTATGAAAGAACATTAAATATATACAAAATGATGTGTCCTGAGCCAAGCATCTAAGGTAATGCCACTGTTCCGTTGTTTTTCTATTGCAGATATGTCTTCTCCTACAATGAAGAAACCTGAAAAGCCTTTGTTTAGTCCTACTTCTCCCCAGGATTCTTCACCAAGATTGAGCACTTTTCCCCAGCATCACCACCCAGGAATCCCAGGAGTTGCACACAGTGGTGAGGGTTATGGAGGAGGAAGAAATACCTCCCTAATAATTTGGTCTGTTCCCCTTTCCTACAATCAGATTGTGATGCATAATAGCAGAATTCCTTAGAGACCTAAGCCCATTTATAGTACTGATGGGAAGAGAAATGGAAGAGGCTGAGGTGTCCTTACAGGAATGCTCATTAAACTCAGTTCAGGTAGTCTGGCTGCTGTAAGCCTTTGGAATGGATCTAGGATTAATCAGTGAATAAAACAATTTGTAAACTGCATGAAGAAACTGTCAGAAAAAAATTTCTCCCTCTCTTTCCTCCTTCCACATGCATCCTTTTTTATTATTGTTGCAATAACTATGTTGTATTTTAATACCAGAATAGGTAAGATTTAATACACAAGAGAAGTCACAACCATTGTCACTTTGTGACATAGTGAAATACATACCATGGGTTCTTTTGAATGCTCTATCTAAAGAGGTAGAGTCCTGCTAAATATTTTTCAACATCTGTTTTCTGAAATCTGTGGTAAATCCATAGTAAAATTTCTCATAAAGTGTGAAGGAGACACCTGAAATGTGGTGGAATGCATGGTATCTTGAGGGTTTATCAGGAATGACAGGGAAATTCCAGCATCATGGTCTGTTTAATTTTACAGGTTAGCGTGACCCTGATTTTTCATATGAGAACACAGTCCTCAGAAGTTTTCCCTCAGCAGCTCATCCTGTCTCCATATAAATTGCATATAATGAGATTAATTTATTCGGCAGAGATGAGTGACTAGAGAAGTAAAACAGATTTGAGGACTTTTTCTTCTTTTCATTTCTTCTTTAACATGCAGCTGTGCTATGACAATTCGCTGTTTTGTGATTTCTCCACGTTTTCAAGTTCCTCCCTAGAATTTCATGTGTAAGGACTATTTTCCCCTTAACGTCCACTTATTTCGTATTATGAAAGTGAGCCTGGATTCATTCTGATCTCTGTAAGGTTTCCACTATCAGCAAATACTGCAGCACCTCAGAGATGATGGATGAAATGGAAGGGATAGATTTCTGGACACTTGTGTTGGTTTTGCACAACTCCCACATGTCAGAGCAGTAACTAATGTTTTATGATTAAACTGAACTAGTTGGGCTCTGATTAAAATAAGCCTGTCACAAAAGAAGCCTCCATAGTTGTTTTTGGCCCGATATTATGTGTAGATCTGTATATTTGCTTTAGTATATAGTTTTTAGATGTATTTGAGTGACAGTCATAACCTAATTTGTTAGATAAGCTATTTACTTGCTATAAAACCTGATTTTTATCTGTGTAGTCTGTTTTTTTTATGGCAGTGAGCAATGTTTTTGAAATTTGCACGTTTTTCATTACCAAGTACAGCAATTCTGGAGCATTCCTATTGTTGATTTTTCTTGGGCAAATTATGACTTGGTCTCAGCTCAAGAATAGTAAGTAGTTTAAAAATTAGCTGAAAAAAACCCAAAGATGTGAGAGGTGGTCCAAAAAAGCAGGGTTGGTGTGCTTGTGCTGATACAGAATACAACCGTGAGCAGTTTATAAAATACCTTGCTTATACAGACCTGATTTTGTACCCTTCCACTAATGAAAATGAAAACCTCGTTATCTTCTTTCTATTTCCATTGAACTCAGTACTTCCTTCTAAATATGTTGCCAAGTAGGTGCTGGAAAGTGGTTAGTGCTGTGTGGTAGAAGAACACTCTCCACTTCTAGCGGATGACTGGGCACCAGCAGGACATGCTGTACATTCCAGAATGTACAGTGAACTGTGTAAATATTGCTGATTGCTTAGAGGTTACATATAACCTTAAGATAGACAAGCATGTGGGAAGAAAGAGAATGTGAAGAAAATATGTATACTTTTTTTTGTTTGTGATAGACATTTTTATTGGATGTATTGGTTTCCCAGACCCTTAAGTTTAATGTCCATTATCATTTTCACAATGGTCAGCTAATATTCATGGTATTATTGATGGGTAATTACACCCTCGTTCCCACATGAGACAGGTGGAGTGTAATGCAGTGAGAAATCACTGTTTCTTAAAACTTGTGGCTTTGCTCTCCTCTGTTGGAGTGCTGTGGATAAAAGGGTAGGTTTTATTTACTAAGTTAAATGCTTCTTTTGTTTATTTGGGCTCCAGATGGGAAAACTGTATAACTGAAATGCCTGAGAATTATTAATGTTCAAAGAAAAAATAAAAAAAATATAATGGCATAATCCTCAAAACCAAAACAAGATGCAGTATTTGTGAATATGAAATACTAGCACTTCCCATTGCCTGGGATAATGTTAAGGGAGGACAGGTAAGCTTTTCTGTAAAGATGCCATGAAACAGGAGTGCAGTTTACTGATGTATAACTGACTTTTTATTTTTCTTGCTGTAACACAGAGGTGAAGAATTTTAAAAGAAACAAGATGTGAAGTAATTTTTATTTTATTTTATCTTCTCCAGTCATCTCAACAAGAACTCCACCTCCACCTTCACCATTGCCATTTCCAGCACAAGCTATTCTCCCTCCTGCCCCGTCTAGCTACTTCTCTCATCCAACGATCAGATATCCTCCCCACCTGAATCCTCAGGATACGCTGAAGAATTATGTACCTTCCTATGACCCGTCCAGCCCACAGACTAGCCAGGTACTGTAAAACAATGCAAACCCTCCAAAATAAGTCCTGTGAGGAATATGTGTCTGCCAGGGCATCTAGACTGGCATCTCGCTAGTTCTGGTCTCATAGCAAACTGGGAGTTGGCTTATCAGCAATCCAGCAATTTTTTTCCTTTGGCATGATTGAATAAAGGGTGCAGGTCAGTCAGATCTACTCAGGGTTCCTCTGTGAAGTGTAAGAAAAAGAGCCAGCAGTAGTAACAGGGAAGATCCTGGTCTGGCATTCCTCCTGAAGGCTGGCTGCCTCTGTGGCTGCACAGGGCCACTGGGGACAAAGCTCCTGATGCAGAATGGAGCGAGGAGCGTGCTGATACATAAAAGCATATGCATGCACAAACACTGACATGCAGGTATATTTATAGACTGAGAAAGAAAATCAGCTGTGGTAAGGAAGTTCTTGCCCCGTTTCATAGGCTCCTGACATTTATTTGCACAGATGCAAAGACATTATTGTAGTGAGTACAGCACAGATCCACAAAATTTTTTCTTCCTCTTGTAGAGGACATGCAATGGCAGATGAGTCCCTGTCTGCTACACCGGTTCAGATCTGTGACTGATACAGGTAATTTGTGAAGAACTGGGTGCAAAACTGCTTTCCATGATAGTATCAGCACATAGTGTTAACATGTGCTCTGCACTATAGGATCAACTGCAGTTCAGACTTGATGCTCAGGCTCTTACTTATTTTTGTTGCCCTATCCAAAAGGCTCCTGTGGATCCCTGTAGCTTGTGCTTTAGCATGTTTTTGGAAGGGCCTTGGGAATGTAAACTGAAGAAACAATGATCAGGTTTTCCTGCTTCTAAGACTTAGGTTCCTTTGGAGGGACTTATCAGGGATGAAGAGGTTGCTGTGACAAGCATTTTGGTTTGGGCTTTGTTTTGTTTTGTTTTTCACCAACAATGACAGGCCTTTCAGTATGTGTTTCAGGCACAGCAGCAATAGAACTGAAGACTGAATCAAACTTTCTGTGTTGAATAGCAGATACGGCCCCTCTGGGCTGTTCAGGGGCCGTTGTGGCTATTGTACACGTGGGCGAACGCACTGGTCCAGCTGCATGACTTCCTAAATTTATTTATTTTTAAAAGTGAGTCCATGAAATAAAAATTTACTTAGCAGGGAGAAATCTTAACAACGTGATTTTTTATGGTTACAATATTAATGCAGATTAAACAAAAAAGTGAACGTGGATTATGTTTGCTTCAGACTACAAATTGCTATCTGTGCATGGATTTAAAGTCTTTCAGTCCCATATAACATTTTTGCTGAGACTCAGCTGGGAATGTTGCATGCAGGACCTGATTTTAATTTGTGCAAAATTTCCATGAATAACAAAGTCTAATTAAGACATCCATTAAAAGTCCTCAATGTTAATTCAGTGCGGAAAATCTTAGAGTTCTGTTCAATTTTTTTTTTCCCAAGTGATGTCTTAATCAGGCTCTATTAAGGGAAAAATTATGCAAATTAAAACCAGGCCCTTACTGTTAATATATTTCTTTAATTATTCAGTGCTTGTTTTACTTACATTTTGATTTTATATGTATATTAAAAGATCAGATTAGGTGATAATCTCTCTGGATTGTTCAGAGTTCTGCTTTGGATCATCCCTGAAAAAATGCAACATCTAAATGAAGTATCTGGCTTTATTTCAGACCATTGCCAAATGTGCTGTAGTAGGATTTGAACTTTGGGGAGTACACTCATTGGGCAGGAGAAGTGCTTTAAACTCTTTATCCAACAAGAGTCTTACTCTCTTCCCTTATCTGCAGCTGAAAGATTCATCTGGTTACCATAAAAGATACTCTGCTTATTTTTTTTTCAGACTAGTAGGAAACCCAAAACACTTCCTATCCTTCTGGTGTGGCACCATAGGGAATAACAGGCCAAACTGGCCTCAATGTACTGCTTTCACCACCTTTCACAACCTTATGTTAATGTTTTTCATTTCACTTGATGTTTGATTTAGTTCCTGAGAAGACGGGACAAGGTTAAACACCAGAAAGAATGGGATTTCAGACATTTGCATCTGCTTTTCTCTGCAATTTATAATAATTAATCACTATTATTAGTCAAATCTATTTTAAATGTAATTCTTTAAAGCTCACCTCTGAGATATGCTGTACAGTAGAGGAGTTGCATGTCCAGTCAAAATACCTCTAAATAGAACAGTTAAAGGATGGCAAGAATAATTTTTTGCTTAGGAAAGAAGCAGCAGCCGTCTGTGATGTTTCAGTGACAAAAGGGAATTGTTCTGATACAATGGCATGCTTTGAGCCAAACCAGTTTTTCTTTTCTAAGTAAAACATGAATTTTTATTCAAACAAATTTAATTATTGTAAAATGCAAAACTGCATCAGTAGGAATACCACATCAAATTTAATTACACTTTTCCACCTCAAAACATACTAATTTGTATTTCAAAAGGGGAAGTATGATGGTAGTTTTAATTTCAGCTTTAAAAATAAAAAGGATGGATACCCTCACAGCTTTTACCTAAAATGAACTGTTCCTCCCCAACATCTTTCAGTAATACGCTAATTTAGATTGTTACGACAAGCAACTGAGATGCCTTGTACTCCCCACAGCAATTTTGAGATTAATTACATTACTGCTGCACTGATTATAGGGAGACAGTCATCCTATTCAATAGAATATTTTGAGTAAAATTAGTTTAAAGATGTAGGGCTCCCATAGGCTTCCATGGTGGGAAGCAGTGGGCAATTTTCCTGACATAATGTTAAATACTCCAAATTACGTGTGATGAACAGTCAGGAAGTTCAAACAGGCCCTGTGGCTGCAGTGAGCAACAATGGGTGATCCTAAATTAAAGAGAGCCATGGCTGTCAAATTAATGCATATCTGCTTTTTTATCTCCTGTTCAATCTGGAAAATAAATAAACATATGTACTGAATAGAAATGGACCTTATTAGATACAGAGCTGGACTTGCCTCCAGCTAGTAGTCTGAAAAGTTCCCAAGGTTTTGAGAACTGCTGTACTTTCCACTACTTACATAGCTCTGCTTAGCCTTTTTTCTATTACTTATTTCAATACTTTTCTTCTTAGCCAGGTGCTCATGTTATGGATGAGATTGTGTGTGAGAGTATGTATGTATCTGTATTATGATGGGGTGCTGGTCTCTCCACAGCTAAACTGGTACTGGTAACTCATTGAAGGTTTCACCAAAAACTCCTTGGTTGGTATGTGTCTAATCCACCTGCAGTGTTTATCCATCTACAGAGTATTGAGTGTTACGAAGCTACCATGAATTTTAAACCTGTATTTCCTTGCTGAATGATTATAGGTGGGTGAATCTTTTAATCTTAGAAAGTGTTAACACCTCTGTGTATATGTACACATGTGCATGCACATGTGCAAATCTGCACACACTTGAAAATGTGTTAATATTTGAGGGTGTAGCAATCAATATACAGTATCAAAATCAGACTTGCAGTGAGCCTCAACGAATCACCAAGCAGAGCAACACTTGTGTGGCTGAAGTGAAAGCTAAAAGATGCACATTTAATGCCCTGCTGACTTAAATGGAATAATTTCCAGGTTAAAGTGGGGTGAATCACAGAAGGATCACCAAGTGCGATGAAGGAAACTATATTAATGCAAACAGTTAAGGTGAGTCTTGCTGAAGAACATTCTGGCATGATTGGGGATTTTCTTTCTGACTGAACCAAGAAAAGAGAAGTAGACCATGTTGCAAGGCCTTTGAGTTTGGATTATGAAGGAGTCAGTTTACAGGTAAACTTAAATCAAATGTTGTGATTTTTATGAAATATGCAGTTTTCACTGACATGGTAAAATTGCCTCCAATTTGGGGGAGTCAAGTACTAGACTCTTTTCCTCATAAAATTAATGGCTTACACTTGTTACATCGTGTGGTCCAAGTGAACCTCTGTCCACCTATTGACTAAAATTCGTGGAGCTATTAAAAAGTACTTTGTTGCAATGTGGACTAGTTTGCGTCTTTATCATTTTAATGGTTTTATCTTTGCCTGAAGACAGAAATAACTGAACTGTTTGAGACAATCTGCTGGTGGAAGCTGATGAGACCACTTATTTTCCTCTCATAATTGGTTGGGGTATTCAGTTTTTTTGTTCAATGAAAGATAGGCACACTCTTCAGGACTGCCAGGCAGATGCTTTGCCATTCTTCAATACAATAACTGCAGTCATTTAGTAATGAGGAGGGAATCTAGACTGTGTTTGGTCTAGTCAAGGGGTTTCCTGTTGGTTTGTGGGAGAACAGTAGCAGAATAAGCTGATAAAAGTGATATGTATGCATGTAATTTCTTTGGTATAGCTACCACCTTTATTTACAGACATTTAATAGTTTTCAACTTCTCTGACAAATCTTTCCTTGTAACTTTTAAGAAATTATTGAAGATAAAATATGGTGATGTGCTGTTTGTAATTAGAAGGCAAAGCGAGACTATTAGCTTAACTGTATCTACTGACAAAGCATTTTAAAGATTTAACTGCAATTGTAAAAGATTACTTTGTATTTCGTTTGCTCATTTTTAATTTATTAAATGCACAATTGTAAGTCTTCAGAGTGCATGAAATACTATTAACCCAAAGATACATTTGAACATTTATCTACCAAGAGTTTTCCTTTCCCATTCTTGTGTGACATGGACTTACTCTCTTGTTGAGGCAAATATACAAGGAAAACTGGGTATTTCCTTATCCTCTGCCTGTTGACAAATAATTCAGATTTTAAGAGCTCACAGGCAAAATTGTAATCCAGGATAGAGGAGTCTTCGTCTAGAATGTCTCTTATCTGTGTCTGAGCATGGGTTGCTGAAGCTCTGCAGTTGCTCTCAGTTTTAGCAGCATTACATCAAGAAGAAAATGCTTTCTCAAATGAATGAGACTTAGAGCTTTATAGACCACAGTCAATGCCTCCATTTCTCTCACAATCAGAAGTGATGTCAGCATCCAAGAACTGGCAGCAATATG